TCCTGGGTTCAGGCAATTCTCCTGCCTCAACCTCCTGAGTAGCTGGGATTACAGGCATGCACTACCATGCCCAGCTAATTTTTTGTATTTTTAGTAGAGACGGGGTTTCACCATGTTGACTAGGATGGTCTCGATCTCCTGACCTCGTGATCCACCCGCCTCGGCCTCCCAAAGTGCTGGGATTACAGGCTTGAGCCACCGCGCCCGGCTCATGTACTCATTTTCTATTGCTGCTAGAAAAAAAATCACCACAAATATAACAGTTTAAAATAACACAAATTTATTATCTCAGTTTCTATAGGTCAGAAATCTGAGTAGGCTTGGATGGGTTCTCTACTCATGTTCCAAGGTCAAAATCAAGGTGGTAGCCAACTGGATTCTTACCTGAGGCCTCTGGAGAAAAATCCACTTCCAGTTCATTCAAGTAGTTTTCAGAATCCAATTCCTTGAGGCTGTAAGGACTAAGGTCCTTATTCCCTCACCAGTGGTCAGCTCCCTGAAATTGCTCACATTTCTTCTTCTGTGGCACCTTCCAGCCTCAAAGCAGCCGTGGCCCACCAAATCCTTCACAGGTGTTAAGTAACTTTTATTTCCTCCTTTGCCTTCCTCTGTTCTTTCAGTAGCTCATGTGATTACCTTGGGTCCACCTGGATAATTCAGTATAATCTCCCTATCTTAATGTCAACTGATTAGTAACCTTAGTTACATCTACAGAGCACCCCTTGCCATGTAGCATAACATACTCACAGGCATGATATCATAACATAGTTACAGTTTCTAGGGCTTTGTGCAGGACATCTTTGGGAGGGCATTTTAGAACTCTGCCTACCATAAGATACTGATTGCATTATTGTTTTTAGTGTTGGGTGGAGGGAAACAAAGAACAACCCAAATATCTATCAGTGTTTATGGCACTGGTTAATGATGGAGCACTATATGTACAAAAATACAAAGCTCCAAGATACAGTGTTAAGTAAAAAAGCTAGGCCCAAAACAGGGTAGATAGTATGCTCACCTTTTCATTTTTAAAGGGGTTACAGCTCTGAAAAATATCATGGTTATAGTCAGAGTACCTGTCTCGAAGATGGAGATCTGGGGAATAGAGTGACAATTTTCACTTTTGTGTAGTTTAAATTTTTACCATATGTATGTGTTACTTTTTTAAAAATGAATAAATAAAACAGAAGAAACTAAATCTTAATAAGGCTTTTAACTACAAGTATAAAACAAATTTCTCTGGTTTACAGTGTTAAACCATGGGGGCAGCCAGTAAATGCATCACAGGTGAGCTCTTCTAATCATGTCCTGATAGTTTGACCCCTACTAAGAGAAATCTGCCTACTTTTGATCTCTAAGGTCAAGAAGAAAGGGTTCACGTGAAACACAGAGGACAGCACAGAAGCAATTTTTTCTTCCTAATCCAGAGCTTATTCTGTGAGTATGTGGTATCCATACTATTTTAAATCAATCCTCAAGAGAAGAAATTAGTGTCAAAAATGTAAGAAGAGATAAGGCTTGACTGAATGGATATATCACAAAAAACTATTTGATACTCTAAGAGGAACTTACAAAGGAGGCAAATCTGGGGCCAGTTCCTCAAGATTCAGCCACTGAGCTCAGGGCTGGACCCAGATGCTGAAGACATCCTCTTTTTTTGTAAGTATTTGATATTCTTTGTGGTATCAAGCACAACTGAGTGTGGAAATAACTATCAGCTGTCATTTCTTCTTGGGTGACTTGCTGTCAAAATCCTGAAAAACAGCTATATCGTTGCTTTAAAAAACAATATCTTAATAAGACGTGATTTTGCTCTCTTATGTGACCCAGTTATCACACTTTCTACCACAATGTGGAGAATGTACCTCTTGCCTGAATTCTGAGGGCAATTTTTGTATACAATCCAAGTAAGTGTTTACTAATATGTTCTTTTTAAAAACTTAATTCACTTTCATTGGAATTAAGTGATTAAGAATTTCACTTAATTCCAATGAAAGTGAAATTTCATTGGAATTTTCACTGAAATTTCACTTTCATTGGAAAGCTTTCTAATTCAAAATAAACTTTGCTTTCTAATTCAAAATAAACTTTGTTTATTTTTGTCTATAAAAGACAGTCAAAAACCCAACTGATGTCTGATGGTACCAGCAGGTTTACCTGAAAGGGATAATCAATAGATCACTTCGATAATACCAGCACCTTCTCTGAAAACACAGTGATAAAGGAAATCTCGGTTGCCAAGATTGGTGCAGTTGCTCCTATGGAAAAAGTATGCCTAATTAGCTGTGGCTCTTCCACTGGGTTTGGTGCTGCAATCAACACTGCCAAGGTGAGGGGCATTTATACCCATTTGGAATGGAATTATTGGGAGTTGAAAGACCTCATGCATCTTGGCCATATTTTATCATACAAAAAAAAAAAAAAATCCCAAGCCTGACTCCAAACATCCCTGAGTTCTCTACTGTCTACCAAGTCATCCCACACCCCCCTTCAACATTTTTCCCATTCCTTCTTGGTCAGTAGTAAATGACAGATTAAGTCTGGATGCCATTCACAAGTGGAAATATCAGGAATTCCTGGAAATTAAATCTAACATGGTTACAACATGACTCTGTCGCCTTTCATATTCCAGTTTATTTTTTCTTTCATTTGACAAATGTTTTTGGAGCCATTCACTGTTCCAGGTGCTAGAATTCAGCAGCTAACAAAACTCATGAAGCTAATATTATATTGCATTATATATTAGGTATTGACAAATGCTAATAAAAAGGAAAGGAGAGTAAACGAACCAAGTAATGAAAGGGGTGTTACAACATTAGACACATTGACCAGAGAAATCCCATTCTGGCTGAACAGGCTACTATTGAACTCTTATTTCTAAAACATCACTCAAACCTTCCCAGCTCCCTTTTAAAGGTGCTGTTGAATTTTAGGACTTTGCCTTTTCCAGTGTCCGTCAGTCCCAATACTATACAGAGAGATAGAATGGAAAGAATTCTATTTAAATTGGTCCTACGTAGGACAGTACTCAATAAAAAAATAAATAAACCTTTGCCTTCACAAGGCATTGACCCCATAAGTAATGAAAATTTTACAGATACCAAAAGACCGATGAGAGAGAGAGAGAGAGAAAGAGAGAGAGAGAGAGGGTTGTAGGAAGATGGAGATAATTTTAAATAACTCAAACATATCTGGAATTAAATACTGTCAAATAAGTCTTAAGATGCAATGAAAATTCATTTAAACTACTACTCAGGCTAATTCCTGGGAGTTGAAACTCTACTTTCCGGTAGTTTTTTGTTCCTGTGTCAAGAGTATCCCATATCTAGAAATATTTTGAAAAACCAAAACTTTCTAGTTATATATATAAACATAACATATGCTTATGACTCATAAAAATGCATGCGTATAGACTTGGCCCTCCCAACTGAGTAAAGGTGTATGTTCTCTTTGCTTTTTGTTTTCTGGGTTTTTTGCCTGTTATGTGTTTAGGTGACTCCAGGTTCTACCTGTGTCGTGTTCGGCCTGGGAGGAATAGGTTTGTCTGTTGTCACGGGTTGTAAAGCAGCAGGAGCAGCCAGGATCATTGGAGTGGACGTCAACAAGGATAAATTTAAGAAGGCAAAGGAATTGGGTGCCACTGAGTGCATCAACCCTCAGGACTTCAAGAAACCCATTCAAGAAGCTTTATTTCATATGACAGATGCTGGTATAGAGTTTTGCTTTAAGGCCATTGGAAATCTGGACACTGGGTATGTAATCCTCTGAAGTGAAAATTACCAATACTTTTACCAGTCACAGTTCTAGATTATAATTGAATGAGCTCTCTTAAATTCCCTCTACATTCCTCTAATTTTCCTTGTGTTCCATGACATCTCAGCTAGTGCCCTCTGTCTGCTCCTACAGATTTGTTCACTATCCCAGATACTAAATCTAGAACTTTCATATAGTTTCAAAGCCAGAAGTTTTAAGCAAGATAAGGTTAAAATTTGATTAATGACCTTATAAATCAATGTGCTTTTCACTTTCAGTAGTCTTTCATGCTGGATCTGAGATAAGTTTCCAAGAAAAATATTTGCTAGTCATGATTAAACGGGTTCATTTCAAATTGAAGGGGAAAAAACATGGTGACTTTTCTGGCTGAACATGGTTTATATGAGAACAGAAACTGAGGGGAAGTTAATTCAAAATCTGAGGCTTGTTTTCTTTGGAGATTTGAAGAAATAGTATATTATTGGGTTGCATGGCTTTATCTTCTAGTCGGCAGCATGGAAATTTAACAACTGCCTCTTCCAACCAGGCCCCTTTCCCAGCATAAAAAATCTTTTCATGATTCACCCTACATAAATTCCTTTATCTGTAAGAAGATACAACAAAACCTTTCTTACAGTCTTACTATGAGAAATAGCCTTTGAACATAACAAATATAAAGATATCTGTTTCTTACTTTGCTAGCATCTTATTAAATATCTGTCTTCTTAGATGTCTAAAAGAAAAATGTCAATTCTTACCAGCTACCTGCATCAGTAAAAAGTCTTATAAAAATTATTTTTATTGCGGCCGGGCGCGGTGGCTCACGCCTGTAATCCCAGCACTTTAGGAGGCCGAGGCGGGTGGATCACGAGGTCAACAGATCGAGACCATCCTGGTCAACATGGTGAAACCCCGTCTCTACTAAAAAAACTACAAAAAATTAGCTGGGCATGGTGGCGCATGCCTGTAATCCCAGCTACTCAGGAGGCTGAGGCAGGAGAATTGCCTGAACCCAGGAGGCGGAGGTTGCGGTGAGCCAAGATCGTGCCATTGCACTCCAGCCTGGGTAACAAGAGCGAAACTCCATCTCAAAAAAAAAAAAAAAAAATTATTTTTATTATCGCTACTGTGTATGTCTTTACTATTTTGTTTTTTGTTATTTCCATTTACTGAGTCCTAAAGTGCCAGGTACTATACTAGGCAGCATACAAGGTCTATCTGTGTTTCATAGCATCCTTTTAAGATAAACATTACCTCAAATGAGAATAGGGAGAATCAGAAAAGAAAGTCATAGACCATTCAGAAGTTAAGCTGAACTTAAGATGTAGGCTCAATCCTCACATACATCTTTTAACCCCTATACTGAATTGCATCACTTTACAACAGACAGCTGCCCTGGCCTCCTGCCATGAGAGCTATGGGGTCTGTGTGATTGTTGGGGTGTTGCCTGTCAGTGTTCAACTCAACATCAGTGGCCAGTTGTTCCTCTCAGGACGTTCTTTGAAGGGTTCTGTTTTTAGAGGTATGGATGAAGCAGGGAAGCGTGGAAATGCCTGAGAAGGTGAAGGTGGGAAATAGAAAAATGTACCATAAACACTTAAGAAAGGACATAAAACAATAGCTTTAGATTACAGATTTTGTTTCAATATATGAATACCCAATATAAAAGGATGGATAATGGGTGTATCTAGTGCCTCTTAGAAAGCTTTTTCTCATGCAAAGAGGGAGAAGAGGTTTTTTAATTGATTGGTAAAGAATCCAGTGTCCAAAGTTTAAAGCAAACTCTAAATTGAAATGAATAGGCAATATTGTAATCTATAACTATACTTCAGTGAAATTATACACCTGCCAGCTGAGATTCTTTGGAGGATATACTTAGCCATTAGTTGTCATTGTTCAACTCATGTAAAATCTTATCTTGAACTCCCAACCTCAGGTGATCCGCCCGCCTTGGCCTCCAAAGTGTTTGGATTACAGGCGTGAGCCACCACGCCCAGCCAACTCATGTAAAATCTTATCCTAAGCAAATGAGTTGTCATACTACCAACTCAAAGATATTAAACACAATGAATTCATGATTTAAAAGAAATACTATTAATTTTAAAAAATGAGAATTATTTTACCCAGAGGAAAAATATCTTATCATAGAATCCTTTGATTTTCTGTTTTTTTAATCTGTCCTGGGACATTTTTATAGACATTAGAAGAGTATTTTATTGAAAAAGTAGAAGACAAACTAAATTAAATAAATCCACTTAAGATTCTGGGTTTATAAGCTAGCAATCTGGAATTTATGAAGAAATGTATTTATCCAGAAACTCTGGGCAATTCGAATGCCTGGGCAAAAAAGAGATGAGAATTAGAGGAGTTGTCTGCATTACCTGCACTAGTGAGCTGTCTGTAGTCCCCAAGTTAACTATGGCAGCATGTTATTACAGATATTAGAAGTCTTACTTAATTCATCTATAAAGAGTAGATACATGGCAGGACCAGCAAGAAAAAAATAGTAATAATCCAGTTAAAACTGTAATTTCAGTTCTTCTATTTAAGATCATTGAATACAACCATTGCCATTTCTCTCTATTGTATTTATAGATGATAATTCGAAATACATATACTCAGCTCAGTCTTGTAAAAATAAGATCACAAGTATTCTTAAAACCCTCAGTGAATGAACCTAATTCATTGGCCACTCTAACACTCATATAGTGATCATTAATGTAAATTAGTTTCTTCCACAGATAGTGTAGTCCTCTGGTTCAATGATTTTCAATCAAGGATAGCATTTAATGGGTGTTGGACAGTCCTGCTAAACCTCCTACAATGTGCAAAATAAGAATGTTCCCCACCCAAAATACCAGTAGTGCCTTGTTGAGAAACACTGCCTAGTCCTGTCTGTGGTCCTAGAATTTTCATTCCTATGTCATTTGGTTGAATGAATAAAAAAAAGGTGAGGGGTGGGGGAGTTGACATAGATATAAAAATGCTTTATCAGAACACCAACCAAAAGATAAAACAGATAGAAATAGACACTTGGCCCTTCATGTCATGACATAGAGCAGTAAGTAGAATTCTTAGTTGCATATAACAGAAACCAACTCAAATTTAAAATAAATCTGTTGGAAGAGTTTGTGGTAGTTTTGAGAATAAGTGGGGAAGCCTAACCTAAGCTGGAACCAAGAAAAGCAAGTAACTGCCAAGATCCTATCACAGAATAATCTGCACAGAACCCTGAGCAGATTACGCCACATTACACTCTGCACAATTACACCACACCCACTCTTTCTAGAAATGAGCAGACTGCCAAATTCTTTGTGGTAATGCACTGAGCATGGCACTTAGCACAGTGCTAAATTTAATTCATTTCTTGAAAAAATCATGAGAATAGAGAAAATACAACGCTAAACTTATCTTACCTTAGCTAACTCCATCTTTGCTTGTACAATTCTTCCAGAAAGCACATTTTATTCTTATAGTGTTTTGTACACATTCTTTTCCCAAGGGTTTTCACTGGGACTGCTGCCATGGTGAAAATTCTTTTAAGTTATTTGACTCATGAAGCAGCAGATCAAAACATACACAAGGGCATGCACACACAAAAATGTGCTATACTTAACATTTGAATTGTTTCTTTTCATGATTCCCAAGACCTTGGCCTTTGTTACACGTAAGATATGGATTCACTGCTCCTGAAAGATTGCAGCCTGATACCAGGAACACCTCAAGGCAAGGTCCACATTCTATCTGCTTTGAATGAATTCTCCTCCATAGTACCAGACGTCTCCTTTAGGAACACAACCCCCTACACAAGGAGTGTGGTTTGGGTAGTCATTCTCGTGATGACTGAGGCAAGTAAATGGGATAGCCTTAGATTTTCTCAGTCAAAGCCAACATCTTCAGCAGTTGCTTTGATGGCCTTTCTTTTATAATGAACCCTCATGTATAAAATTTGTCATTAATCTGTGTATTTCCAGGCTGGAAAAGCAGAAAGCACTTCCCTAAACTGGTTGCTGATTATATGGCAGAGAAGTTTAATCTAGACCCACTAATTACTCATACTCTGAATTTTGATAAAATCAATGAAGCAGTTGAATTAATGAATACTGGAAAATGGTAAACTGCCCACATATATTTTATGTCTGTGTGTTTGAGACCAAGAGAAAGGGTGTATGGGCTTGGGTGTTGGAGAAGGGTCATCCCTGCTGCAGAAACTATATGCAGATAATTGAAGAGGCTTTCAGGAATGTGTAAAGCGTCTCCTTCTCCTCTGCATTTTGTTTTATTTCTAGCTAATAAAATACATAATCCTGAAAGTATTTAAGTGTTCACCTACCGTTATCATTGCCATTATCATTGTATTTCCAATTTGGCTTTTTTTTACATGACACATTAATGGAAGTCAGCTTGTAAAATTGTAGCTCAAGTTTAAAAACTTAAGAACGTAGTTTACAAATAGGCCATTGTTGTATTTGTTGTTCTACTTTGGTGGGAGAGAATAATTATTCATAGAATTCCAAATTCTGAATACGATATTTGGCCAGAAAAACAGAAACCAGCCATAACCCAGGAACTGGCATTCCCCACACAAGTATAATCCTGTTTACCCACTTCTTACCATTGGAGCTTCATGTCCTTTTGAAAAATCTTCTCATGGCTTATTTAATCTTCCCATTTTTCACCTAAAGAGAAAAAAAATCTAGTTTCCTTGTCTACAAAGTGAGAATTTGAAATCCAAAACATAAATGTTGCTCTAGAAATGTTCCAACCTTTTTTCTCTTTTTTACAGTATCTGCTGTGTCCTGTTACTTTAAGTACAATGTAATTCATGCAGGACCTGAAGGATATTTCTTCCAGCTCAACTGCAGTTAATGTAATTTTCATGATTTAGAATTATTTGCACAATCCTATTTCTATATTCTGACTT